GTAGTGTTCTACTGACAGTGACCTTTGAAACTGTGGTCCCAGCTCTCTTCATGTCATTGACCAGCTCCTCCCTATCGTTCTGGGCTGATTCCTCACCTTTCTTATCATCAGTGATACCCCACGAGGTGAGATCTTGCATGGCGCCCCAGTCCGAGGGAGACTGACAGTCGTCTTTAGCCTCTTCCATTTTCTAACAATTGCTCCAACAGTTGATCTGTTTTCACCAAGCTGCTTGGCAATTGCCCCGTAGCCCTTTCCAGCCTTGTGGAGGTCCACAATTTTGTCTCTGGTGTCTTTTGACAGCTCTTTGGTCTTGCCCATGGTAGTAGTTGGCGTCTGACTGACTGTGGGGTGGACAGGTGTCTTTAAAGAGCTGAGACAGGTGCTACTAATTTAGATTAATGAGTGGAGTAGAGGTGGACTTTTTCAAGGCACAGTAACAGGTCTTTGAGAGCCAGAATTCTTGCTGTTTCTCAGGTGTTCAAATACTTATGTTCAGCAGTGCAAGACAAATAAATTCTTTTTAAAATCATACAATGTGATTTCCTGAAAAAAATTTTTTATTCTGTCTCTCAGAGTGGGAATGCACCTACAATGTGAATTTCAGACCCCTCCATGATTTCTAAGTGGGAGAACGTGCAAAATCGTAGGGTGTTCAAATACTTCTGTTCCTCACTGTATGTGTCAAGTTCTTTGCCCTGTGGGAAGTTTGTACATAAATGAATAAAATGAAAGTTCATATTTGACATCTCTCACATCTCTCCCACTATGCAAAAATAAATTAGCACAAAGAAATATAGAGGGGAGTCGCTGAATTCACAAAACTTTATTATAATAAATATGTGCATTGATATAGATAAACAAGTAGGAGCCGTGGAGGCATGATTTGGATGCTACTTGAGGAAAAGCACAAATCTTCACGTTGCAATCCAATGTAGCCTTTTTACACCATGTTTCCTAGATTCCAAAATAAGTTAACATAAATTAATCTGCATTATCTCTGGGAAAGTTACCTGCAAAGGGAATCTGGATACTGTGTTCATTATTACTTTGTTTTCAGTAACATGCATATATTTATAATAGAGTTTAGAAAGATGATTTGAAAAAAAAAAACCTAAAGCTTGCTTTTCTATTGTAGAAACCCAAGTCCTATAATTCTGTTGTTGTGTGATTGAGTGTGCATGTGTGTGTTGGTGTATTACCGGTGTCCATGTGATCCACAGAGCTCAACATGTGATCCGAGGAGCGGGGTAAACTGCTGACACTCAGACCACTGTCAGTGCTCTCGTTGCGAGAGTGAGCGCTGCACAAGAACACACGTAAACATTCCTTTATATCTGATCATCATCTGTGAAAAAAACTGGACTGACCAGAAGAAATTCTGCATAGTCACTGAACTGATAGCACATTTATGCAAATATGATATAGAATAAAATTCTTCCTGGATCATTGCTGTCTTCACTGTAATTACACTGTGATAAGGAAATATTTTTCAAGAAACGTGTTGACTGATAGGTTGATAGAGTATCTGTGCCATTATCTGCACAAACTGAATTCTTATCCCTACTGTACAGTGCTAAAAATAAAAACTTAGAGGAAGTCATCTAAAAACCTCAGCACATCTAATCAAAACAGATGTGAAAAAAATATGCCACTATTTTGGTAACAATTTTAGAGGGGCCATGTCAGACATGTTCTCACCTACTGGAAATACACCGTTTGGTTTAAGCACAGGGGGCGCATGCCTTGGTAAAGCACGCAGGACGTGGGACATGATGCGATCATTTAACCAGGTTGTAATCTGGTCATAAATAACTACGTCTCTTGCCGTACTTTAAATTTGTCCAACAATTCTGGCACCGGCTCTTAAAGACAGAAGTTCCCGAACCACATTGTGTCTCCAGTTAGATATTTTTCTTGTCGTCTTCATTGTAAACGACCGTTTTACATCACCACTGGATGTCTGTATTCTTACTCTTTCAGGTTGGTCACATGATAGAACCTCATCAACACATCCACTGGCTCCACATGAATACTCCGAACTATATGCTGCCATTTTCTCACATGGGCTCCAGCTCACTCTGACTTTATGCAGGCTTTGTCCTAGGGAGCTGGCAGAGTAAAGTCTGCTTAAGGTCCAGGTCGACTGACTCGGACATTCGCCTTCTCACGTACAGTTCACCCAGATAATATATAGATAATTTCAGGGTTCCAGTGCATGTCTGAAAAGGGCCTTAGATTACTTTTACTAATAATAGTCAAGAAAATTATCTTTTCTTTAATGAATCTATCACAACTGGGTGAAAGTAACACTACAGTAAAGGGAGGTCTACATTATATAAACGACAATATTAAATATGAACTCACCCATTAAGTGTAGGTTCATGGTTCGAGGCTCTGATCCTCACATCCAAAGTTGGGAGAAGTGTCTGTGCATTCCTGTCATGGTCCATCCCACCTAGCATCTGGTTCCTTCCTCCTGCGTCCTACAGTGCACACACACACACGCACACACCTGCTTGTAGTGTATAATATAATGGAAAACTCTAAATGTGTTTATGTGAAACAACAATTTATTTACAGTTAAATCTGAACTAAATACACAGCACAAAACAACAGATAGCACAGAAAATGATTTCACAGTAGAAGAGACTGTGCAGTTTTTGGGTGGCCCATCCAAATGCTATTTTTTTTTACATCTGACCTGTGCTGTGATTTGATGAGGCAGGCCTTGTTTGCATCTGAGCCTTTCCTTTTCCTGCCTTTGCTGCATTACCAAGCCAAGGATGCTGGGGTTCATCTTCTGGGCTGGAACATAAAATTCAGAGGAAAAGAACTTTTTGACAATTAAGTACATATTTCCAAGCGCTATAGGCGTAACATGTCAGCTATGAGGAAAACTTGTCAAAACTTTGCGATCTTTCTTATTTTCATTGCCAAACAGCAACTTGTGATGGTGGACATTGGAACAAAATGTTTCTCTTTGACAAACAAGAATTGTCAACTCAGGAGACACAAATTTGATAGTGTGCTACCTAGACGCGGGTCGACCCATGTGGTGGTCTTATTTATGTGATCGATGTAGTACACCTCTCCATCTGCAGTCACAGCCTGCTCCCAGCCTTCAGGCAGTGGACCTGAACAGCAGCGAAAGTACACAGTGAGAAGGCGAATGGTGGATGGAGCGTATGGAGTGCTGAGAGTAAAAAGCAGAACCTTACCCACGTCCTTTAGTGTCTGTGTAACTTTGAGTTTGTAGAGTGAAGGTTAGTGGGAAATAGATGCAGCACAGTATGTTCTGCAGAGTCAAAATGTGCATCTGCCTGAATGCAGTGAGTGGGAGACTGTCAAGCACTGTAGTAAAAAGTGTAACTGAGAATGTTTTACTCTGAAACGGTCTGTTCAGCCAAATCACAATACATAAATTCAACAGCAATACCTCTTTCCAGGAACACTGGCCAGTCCACAGAACATACATGGAAGGATTTCACTGAGAACTATTTGTCCCAGGCAAAACTGTTCACCCTGGGGTTTGTAGATTATCCAGAGAAAAGGAGACGTTTTTCGGGAAAAACACCTGACTCATTTCTTTTAAACCTGCATGAACTGATACTCTGGCAACTTGAGCCACATTTTCAGAGGAACTTTCCCTGGGCAGCAGGAACCTTTATTTCCTCTACCAGCGTTTCCACTGGAGACTCCCGAGTCTAAATTTAGTCCCAGGGTGAAAAAGGCACCTAGCCTTTCTGTTGGTCCAAGAACAATCAGTGGGGTGGGGGTGGGGGGAAGACATCGCTGATTGGTCAAATACAGGGCTGTAAGTGCGAGCATTTCACTCTCTTATGCAAGGAAAAATCAGAATGTGGCAATGCAAAAACTGATTTGGGCGCACTGATGCAACGGACTCACGGCTCCTTGGCTTTTCAGTAGAGCATTTTATCAGCAGGCTTGCGCAAGGATACCAGTAAGTGAGATTTGTGAACTGAGAAGTACAGTTTTGGTGTGTTTGGAGCTGCTTTTCCTGGTGTTTGATGTGAGGGCGGAGCTCAGCACCTCCACACACGGAGCACAGCAGGCAGAGGCTATGGAGCGGGAACTTTCTGGTAGAAATGCGGTTTTGGTGGATCAGAGAACACTGCCACACTGTGTAAAGTTCTTATGACAAATGTCTTGTCTATTTACACACTCACGAGATATGGATTAACATTATCATTATTTAGAGCTGAGCTTGCATTATTATTTATCAATTTTATATTATTTGGCATTCATTGTGGATGGCAAAGTAAGAATTTCATTGTGCAGGGAAACACATTTCCTTACTGTACATATGACAACAAACACTTTGAACCTTTGAAGCTAGCAAATGTAAGTCCAGTATTCACTTTGTTTTAGCTCTGTTTTTGTCTTCACTGTCTCCTGATGGAAACACTTGGCTCTTTGTTCACTAGTTAGTTTCTAACTTTGCCCATCTCTTGTTTGGTGCTGGGCATGAAAACAGCTGCCTGCTTGATAAGACGCTGATAAGAGTAAACAGTAAAGGTGTAAATCAAAACTATGAGCTGAAATATGAACAGAGACAGATGTGTCCACTTTGGACAAGCCTCAAATTAACTTCTCTTTGTTGCATAGACCGAGGGCTGTGGGTTTTGTCCCCCATTTCCTACAATGCATGTAAGGAATCAATTAATTTGGGTGAACTGACCCCCAAATGACAAAAAAAAAATTATTTGTGGTATTTTTTTTTCTTTCTAGTGTATAAATTTGAAGTGGAATATATTCAAGACAATAATGGGCCACAAAGTTATAAATTTGCATCTAATTAAGAAAAACACTTGTGTGACAATTAAGACTTCTCTCATTTTAAAGAGATGCTCTTGTTAGTATATCAAACCTGAATGGCCCATTTCTTTTTTTTTTTTTTACACACACATTTCCAGTACAAAATTCATCAGAGCCACATAAATAAAGTTTAGTAAAGCCTGGGTTTTAATCCAAGAATGCGATCATTCCCACCAAAGTCACCAAAGGCCACGGATGTAGCAGCCAAAAGGGACTCCCACAGAAAGAACAGCCAGCACAGGCCTGGCCAGCAGGAGATGGAGTTGAACTTTGAAAAGCAAAAAAAGAAACTCAACGGTGAGACAGGAAACAAAACCAGTGATACCTGTCTCTGGATTGATGTTTTGTGGCTGCGTAGCGGGGGCTGGATTGCTGAGGGAGTGGGCATGGACTGGAGCACCAGAGATAGGAAGCTGAGCTGGGGCCGACTGAAGCTGTGAAAGCCGAGGGTCGTGCCAGGTAGTTGTCTTATCCAGGTGGCTGCAAACACACAACAAGTCTAAACACATCTGTGCATATCTGTTAAACCACTGTAGCCTGACGGACAAGAAACGTGAGGCACATTTAACCTTGAACCTGCTTTACCTGTACTACCAGATGTGAACGTACACCCACACTCACACAGACAATCATCACAACTTGTGCTGATGTAAACTATAGCAGCCTTTGACAGGAGAGTGAGCTGTCAAGCCATGTGCTCTCATGAATGAAACTGACTGAAACCACACTGATTGCACAACTAGAACTTTTTCTGTTTGCATGCAAATGCTTAGTTTAAATCGTGTTTGCCTCTGCTCTGCTGCATGTCTCTCTTCATGCCTTTCCTTTATGTTTATTTATATTTTTCTCTTGCAAAATATTTGCTGACAGCTATTATTCTCTATAACAAGACAGAACTCCAGCAAAATCTAAAGAAACCTCCTGCATTACATGCAGCTTTTTTCATCAATCTACAAAGATTTTGGTCATTTATGAAGCTATATAGCAAGTAAAGATGATATACAAACCTCTTTGAATTTGGACAATCATTCAGATAAGACAAGTAATCTGACTTCATTTTGAGAAAATGTGAGTGGTATTTTTTCTGAAACCACAATGAAACACGATGAGTGCCCTTGTAGAAATGTATCAGTCAGAATAAGGTGGAGCTGACCTTTTGGGCCTTTGCAAACAGAAACCCTTCAAGTAACCTGCAGAGCAACAGATGCAACATAAACAGATGTAAAACCTCTTACTTGAGGAAGTACCGTTGGCCAGTAGGCGTTTTGGCCATTTCCCAACCGTGGGGGAGCGGCACATCGTCAGGTATGTTCGGTGTCACTGCTACATCTGCAGCTTGGGTAGAGAGGGAGTTGACTGGGAGGGAGGCAGGGGAGGAATGGGCGCGGACGTGATGAGGAGTGAGGGAGCTGCACACGCCTCCATCTGAACTGGCCTGACCAGAAACAAGCAGAGTTAACAACTGCCGTGACGAGCCACAAATGGCAATTAGAAACATAAACGAGCAGAAAGAAAAGTTTTGGATGGAAACCAGAGAAAGACTTAGTGGAAAAACAAACACTTGGAGGACGAACAGTGAAACTGGTCATTCACACGTCTGGTTGACTTACTTTGAAAAATATACACATATTATTTCTGCCAAAGAGTTTTCACTGCTGGTAGTTTAAGCTTAAATTCTGTGACTACTTTCCAGTTTCTGGAAGATCAGCACAAACTGTCTTTGGCTTAAACATCAAATCTATCTTTTAACTGTGTATAGCCATATCTAGTTTTATCCTAAATCACAATTAGAGTCTCCAAAGACTGGGCTCCACTGGGGTTGAATGCATTAGCTGAGACTGACAGACAGTCATCATCAGCTAAAACTTTCCAGTTGACATTATGTCAACAGAAGAAATAAGTCAATGTAAGAGTTGTTTCTCTAAGTTAGATTAAACCAACATGAACAGCTGCCAACGCTTAATCCATTTTTCTTTTTACTACTCTGAATTCTCAGTCTCACCCCTACAGGTCTCTCATGGCTGTGCTCACTTTAAAGGGATTCATTTGCCATCTTTTAAAGCAAATATTTCATGGAGTTTTCAGTCAGAATTGGTAAAAATCCACCTCTGACCACTATTCCTCTTTGTAATGTTTTCTTTTTTTTAGATTTTTCCACAGCTTTCCACCATCAGTAATTTGTCAGTTCAATACTGTATCATCATTGCAAAAGCAGCTACACAACACGACTGATAACTGCAAATTTTACAGATGAGTGTTCAAGGCAGAACTGGACTTATTTGGCAGCTGCTGCAGTTATTTACTGTGGAAAGAAGTACGGTCTTAGAAATACTGTACAGAACAATGGTAAATGGTCTTATACTTGTATAGCGCCTTTCTATGCTTTTACAGCACACTCAAAGCGCTTTCACACATTATTCAGCCATTCACCCATTTGCACTCCCAAGCACTCACGCATTCACACACTGGTGACATCACCGGGAGCAACTGGGGGTTCAGTGAAGGTAGATTCTCACTGTAGAGCAACAAATGCTCCAAACTGTAGCCACAGAAATCACAGCCAAATGACATCTTTAGTCTCATAAAAAAAGTATTTAAATAGCTTAACAAATGAATCAATTAGCAAACTAAGCTGCTAGTTGATAAATAGAAAATGAACTGGCAGCTACTCTGATAATCAAATAATTGTTTTAGTCCATTTTAAGCAGAAGTTCCAAAACTTTTTCGGTTTGACTTCTCAGGATAGAGAGTCTGATGCTATTCACTGTCACACATGATGGTAAATTATTCATTTTATATTAATTAATATCTTTGGACTGTGGAGTGTAGGTGGAATAAAACAAATCAAAAACATTTAAAGGTGTCACATTTGGCTGTAATGTGCACACCTTTTGTTTCTGATATTTTTAGACCAGACAAATAATCAGCAGATTTATCAAAAATAAAAGTAGTTTCACTACTAGTACCATAAACCCTGTTGATCATTTGACTATTTGTATAAGGGAGTGAGTGTTTATAACATTTGGTCCCTCTCATGTAGTGTACAAATTGTTAAGGACAGAAGTCCTTCCATATATTTGCAGTGCACTGCAGCTTCACCAAACTAGAGACTTTGGATTTCTATCATCAGTCAGAGTAGCTGTGTTGCAGGCTGCACCATGTGGTGGAGTCACTAGCTGTAGTTACTTGTCTGGAGTGGCCTCGGGGGTCCGGCTGCCTGAAGAAGGAGTCCGGCAGCTTCCTCATCCTCATGGGTAGAGAGGCCGGCTGCTTGCCCGCCTTTCCCGGGTTCATCACCGCATTGAAGAGGGCCTCCAGCTCCGTCTGCGAGTCCCCGCGGACGTGCACGACTTGCTGCCCGGCAGGAGGCGCGCCACGATGCGCGTCCATGTCGCCAAAGTTTATTGTCGAAACAAATCTGTCGAGCAGTGCAACCACAGAAACAAACAAACAAATAAATAAACAAAGACTGAACGTCAGGCCCGTTAAGACTAGATGCGTGTGAGTGCTGGAGTTATGATCGGATCTGTTTACACTTTTTGACCCAGTCACCCCCCCACCCCCACCCCCCATCCCGACTTAAACTTTTGTGGTGTTGTCTGTCTGTTTCAAGTTGTAACACCTCGAAAACTAATCGACTGCGGAAAGAAAATCATTCACCGGGCAAAGAAGTCGAAGGAGAGCGTTTTAAAGCGGGGATCGCTGGCAAAAGTCAGTATAAGCAGTGTACAGCACGTTACATGCCTCCCACATACCTTCAAGCAGCCAGACCGTGTCACCCCCTCTCCCTCTCTCTCTCTGTATATTCCTGCAAGAAATAAATAGGAGGAAGAAATCACAGCCGGGAAAATAGTGTTTCCGATGCCAACTCTGAACTAACAGCCTCCGCAAGTGGAAAAAACACACTGATGTACTATGAGACTGGGAGAAAAGTGATTTCAGCGAGACCTCCAAACTTTTTTTTTTCACATCCACTGAGTCCAGATTCATGTGATAGTGCGGAGGGGCGGGGTTGGACGGTTTAAAGCTGCCGCAGTTACAGGGGAACCATTTCACTCTCAGGACAGATAGACTATTAACACAAGACTTCGAAAAAATATGCATTCATGTTTCATTTATAGCTCCAAATGCAAGGGAAATGAGCGATGTTATTGTCAACTAATGGTGTCTGAGTGCGCTTTAATTCCCTGCTGTGCGGTTTCCAGTTTGTGCGGGTTTC